GAGAGAGAGAGAGAGAGAGAGAGAGAGAGAGAGAGAGAGAGAGAGAGAGAGATTCGCTATACGTGATTTGTATTAATATGAAATTGAATTTTTATAAACTTGTTTGACTATTAAAATTATTATTAATTTGATACTCTCTTTATACATTTCAGAAAATTTTATACGCGATTTCTTAGCGATCCTTGACGCAATAACTCATGATAAATTCGAACGTGTCTACATAAGTTTGTTTTTGCATATAAACGCATTTCATGATTATTCATTATTGAGAACTAATTGTTATCTTTATTCTTCGTGCTACTATAATGACGGAGATAACACAATAATGAAGCACATCTTTATATAGCTCCCAATAATTATGACATAATATAGAATTTCGCGTGCAATAGTAACATTTGTAAATTTTCAAATATCCAACTTAACCGATATTTATAATCGATCCTTTTCTTGATATAAATTGCATCCTTATATTTAAGATAATCTTAAATATAATTTTAAGATGTTATAAATCAATCACAGAATCGTATTAGCAGCTTAAGATATTATTTAAGACAGTTTTGAAAAAATAATAATGAATTATGAAAATATATATATATCAGTCTATGAGCGCTTCAAATATATTTTTTATTTTATAACGTATGTTTGATGTATTACGTATATTATTTTCTCAGAATAGTTTCTTTTTATAGGATGCCTTCTATTTAATGATATAAATATCGTTTTGTCATTATTACTCATGAAATGTAAAGAAAGAACAACATTTCGACTTGTGTCACTAAAATGGAAAGCATCCTGTATATAATAGTCATTTAACTTAGAAATGAAGAATGAGTTAGATTTGCAGTTGTGAAACTTTGGGTAATTTAAATTTAATTTACTACCTGATGGATTAATTTATGTATTATATAATGTTGTATTTTATAATTACGTATATAAGACTTAATTTAGTTTTGTTTTAAAAATTATATTTATTCATTGAGTAATTTTACTTTCAAATTTCTATTATTTGTTACGTAAATCTTTCTCAGAGAGAGAGAGAGAGAGAGAGAGAGAGAGAGAGAGAGAGAGAGAGAGAGAAAGCGAGGAAGGAGAGGGAGAGAAATGTTATGTATATTTTCGCATAACTGCATTTATTATTGATTTTGAAGCATTAATTAATAGTCGATTTTGTTTTCCCTGATATCTTTTATGAAAAATTTTATAAACCAATTAAATATGTTGGGTCAATGGAATACATTTATATGTCACAGACAAATGAAATGCTCACAACCTATAATCATAACCTAATGTTTACGGCATGAATTTACTTGCTCAATGTAATTTATTTGTCACTATGATGACATCTGGAGATCTAATCAGAGTCAAGACACAAAATAGATTTCGATTAGTCCATTTTTAATAATTTTTGAGAGAGAGAAAGAGAGAAAGAGAGAACAAAAAGAAAAAGAAATACTAAGTAAATGTATGTTCTTTTTTGTGTAATTTTGCTAAAATTATACAAAAAAGCCTTGCATACAAAATGTGGCTCGTATCCAGATTCTTATTAGATCTAGATTCTAGATGACACCGACATATGTACAGTCAGGTATAACTTTTGATTTTAAAAAATGCATAAAAAGTGATTAAAGCCCTTTAAGAATGTTATTTTTCTTCTATCTGCGATTTGTAAAAAAAAATTATTAGTTTAACATTTGAAGAACGACTATTGTATTCTGAAGAGTTATGATAACATAGTGATTCCAATAAATCATTAAGTTGATTTGCACCTACCGAGAACAATTGCAGACTGATTATCACATTTTTATTAAGATTATTTCATTATCGAACTGATTAGTCTTCGCAAATATACTTTCAAATATTTTCATGAGTGGTTAAATCTGAGCTCAAGAGATCGGAATTATCATTAAATTTATATAGAGCTCTTCTAACCGGACGAGTCGTTGTTCAAAGTCCAAGGTTATTAATCACATTCTCAAATGGGTATAGTTACTATATATCTACGAATTGTGTAAGGACAGTAATAATCTGTGAGTCGAGAATGATTTCTTCGCGTTGACTTTTTTAAATATTTTTCTCTGAAAAGGATTAAATATAATATATTTGTACGAAGTTATCATTTACATAAAAAAGTCGTATATAGCATTGCGTAAAATTATTTAAAAAAAGATTAGATTAATTAGATTAATATTTGTACAAGGTCATCACTCATGTACAAAAGTTGTACATTGCATAAAAGTATATGAATATATAATGTTGTATTAGTTCATTTTTTTCTACGAAATATTCCATTACTTTCTATTATTTTTAAAGAACGTATATTTACTATGGTATTATTCCTAACAATAAATTTTTAACAATACAATTATTTTTCCAGAGTTACGTACAAAATTTGAAAAGAAGGCATTACATAACTTTTGTTAAGCAACTTATCTGATATTTATTCATTGATAATAAACTGATTTTTTCTGGTGAAGAAGTCAAGAAGAAAATGATTGTCACTAAAAAATCTCTGATTTGAAAGCGTGATCTGTTCACATACGTACGTTTGAACATCCTCGCGAATTGTCGTCAATTTATTTTCCCTCTGTCTAAGTGACATATTTGCTAATATTTTTGTATTTATAGCTTATATGCTTAACGTGCGCGTACAGATTTTATCATTAAATTAATTATGAATCTTGTCGGTCAAAAGCCATCATCGATGTTCTTCTCTCATTCTCCTTGATATTCCTTTCCATCATGACTCAAGTGAAAATCAAGTGAAATGCAGACGAACTTTCTCGCATACAGCATGGTATTTTTGTAACGCACCAAAATTTTAACACGGGAGAAGATCGTCCTCGGCTCTCAATATTCTCGATTCACGTAATTCTCTAATCTTTTTAAATGCTTTACATTATATATACGTTTTGTGACCCAGAATATATGTTTATATATATTTTTACGAATTTTTCGCGCAGAACTTTCACTTTGCAATAACGAAAATTCTAAAATAATAATATTAATTTACTATAGAACAAATGAAAAACTTTTATATAATAGAATATACTTATTTTAAAGTAGAATATTTTATAATATCTTTGTCACAAATAATATCATATTAATCTACAAATTAAAAGTTTAATAAATTAGTGAAGAAAAGTTCACAAATATCAATATTTTTCAGAATGTTATTTGTTAATCATATCATGACTGATTTGATTGATGTACGATTTATTGAATACGATTAATATTTTACTTAGTAAATATATATATTATTTTACATTATACTAAATAATAAATAAATATTTATAAATATTATATTAATATGCTAATTTACATTAGTAAATATTTTTCTAATAAATATAATAATTAGAAAATATATAATGTTACAACGAGAGATTTATAGCTATCTATTAATGACAATTTTTGATATATTTATATCCTCGAAAGAATGCATGTAAAAAAATAAATTTGCAAGATGTTACAAGATATTACAAGAAAAAAAATTTGTTTAATTTTTAAGTAATTTTTCGCTTGATATGTAATTACATATACATATATTACAGATATTATATTGTATGCATTTTTTAAAACAAGAGAATTTAAAAATTTTAGAAATATTGAATGAAACTTATAGTTTCATTAAAAAGATTGAGAATAGTGGGAAGACAAATGATAAATGCGAAGATTTAGAAGGAATAGGAATAGAAGGAAGTCTATCAGGCATTCTTTTGAAACTCAAATATGTATATTGAGCTCTTTAAAATATGTAAGTCTATACATATCATAATTTGTAAGTATATCGAACTCGTTGCTATATGATGGTATGCCATATTTACCAGCTTGGCGACGTTTTACAATACGTTCATGCACGCACTTGTGCGCATCGCAATTGCGGCTTTTAGTAAGGTTAACTAGTGCATCTGTTCACCCTGCATCATTATCACCGTTGTGATCGCTCATTACGACGAGATTGCTCTTTTTCTGTCTTCGTCTAATCCATATAATTAATGAATTTTTTTTCAGAATTTAAAAAATCGTGCATACATGAACGTGATATCTTATTACTATATTCAGTAAAAAGTAAAAATTAATTTTTTTAGCTTAAAAAAAATTAAACTTATAATTTAATTTTTATATAATTAACATATTGAGTAGCGTATATAGATCCTGATATTTTTGTTTTAGTCTATAACAGGTTTGTCCAATTTGAGTTCCGGAACACGCAAAGCTGTTGACGCAAAAAAATTCAACGTGGATAAGATTTCGGGGACCGTAAAGTGTTGATAAATATCATTCAGATGTGTATCATTTTACGGACCTCGAAATCATATTCACATTGAATTTTTTCGCGTCAACAGCTTTGTGTGTTAGTTCTGGAGCTCAAATTGGACAAATCTGTTATAGATCAAAACAAAAATATCAGGATCTATATACGCTAGTCAATATGTTAATTATATAAAAATTGAACTATAAATTTAATTTTTTTTATTTAAGAAAAAAATTTTGCGTTTTGGTTCCGAAGCTCAAATTGGACAGATCTGGTTTATAATTTTGATATTTGTTTTAACATTATTTAAATCTTACTTTGTTTTTCACCAGTTTAATGGTAATGTAAGCCTAGGCTATAAATCAGCAAAAAATGTTAATTGTTATTTCATATAATATTTCATATAATATGGATTAATTCCAATATACACATTTTACAGGAAGGCTAACGCAGGATGGCGGAAGCCCATTCGGCCGTAGCATTCAGCTTCTCAATAACACACGAAGGATGGGACGTAAACTTCGATCGAGAGGTACTCCACTTGGTCTGGCTCTCTGGTGTACGATCATGGAAAAAAAGATTTTTCCGGTTTCAGGTGAGTCGTGGTATTCTGACAAACACTTAACTATTCGAACGTTCTAATATTTGAACAAATATAAAATATTAATATAAAATAATGGATATTATTAACTTATATTTTTACATTCATTCTGTTCACAGAACAATCTGAAAAGCGGTGTTTATCCGGCCTCTTTGACAAGTCTATGGGTTACTGTAATTTTAGTAACGGCGATACACTTTGCTGGTTACAAGGTCCCGTATGACCTCGTTGGGAAAGTTTCACCATATATTTCTGGGTAAGTTTTCTATGTAATTCCGTATTTCGATTATAAATTATTTCTATTCATTACACACATATAGATTAGCAGTAATTGATAATCATTGTTTTTCATAATAGTTCTTCAGTACTCGCACACCTGGCAGGCTCCTTCGTAGTCGGACTATTCCTATGGTTGGCGGTCATATATGCGATTCGATACACGCTGAAGCTATTACTATTGTATAAAGGATGGATGTATGAGGCGAGAGGCAAAGGTCGCAAGCCATCGAAGTTGACTCAAGTCTGGCTGTTGCTAGTGAAATTATTTTCAGGTTGGCATAAACCCATGCTGTACAGCTTCCAAGGATCATTGCCACGATTGCCACTTCCGACAGTATCTGAGACTATGGAACGGGTTAGCTCAATAATTATATATTTTTTGATCTCTGTGTTGAAATGACTACATACAATACTTCTTGTATAAATTGAATTATTGCTAGTCTAATGATATTTTAATTTAGTTTCTAGTTTAGTCTATAACAGTTCTAGGCATTTCTCTTTAATTTTGTAGTGAAATTGTAGTGAAAAAATCAAAATATTGTACATTTAAATAGTATCTGAAAAGCGTACGGCCGTTGCTCGATGATGAGAATTACGCTCGCATGGAAAACCTGGCCAAGGAGTTCCAGAATGGCATCGGAGTCAAGCTGCAGCGTTACCTGTTCCTAAAGTCTTGGTGGGCCACCAACTATGTGTCTGATTGGTGGGAAGAATATGTTTATTTACGCGGAAGATCACCTCTAATGGTCAATTCAAATTTCTACGGGATGGATGCCATTCTTACCCACTTCACGAATTTGCAAGCCGCCCGAGCCGGAGCTGTAATATATTCCTGCTTACAATATAGACGTCTCATCGAACATCAAGATTTAGAACCTGTTAGTTTTTTTTTGTTAATTATCTCTAATTATTATAAAATGAAGAGATTTTCATACATTTAAGAAATGCATACGGTTTTATGTTAATATCTTTATTTTTATTCATTTTTTTTTAAGAGAAATTTATATAAAATACAAAATAAGAGTTGCAAATGGATATGTTGTATTACGCAAGTTATAATCATGTAGATAAACTTATATTTAAAAAATTATGTACATTTTCAGATTTTAGTTCAAGGATTAGTACCATTGTGTTCTTGGCAATATGAAAGAGTATTCAATACTACACGAATTCCAGGAACTGAAGTTGACAAAATTGTGCATTATCAGGATTCTAAACATATTGTAGTATATCATAAGGGCAGATATTTCAAAGTTTTAATTTATTACCGAAATAGGATTCTTCAACCCTGTGAAATAGAACTGTAAATTATTGTTTTATTGGTATATATTTTTATATTTATACACGTATATTATAATATCGCCTTACAGTCAGATTCAACAAATTTTGGATGACAATTCAACACCGTCGGAAGGAGAGGAGAAATTAGCTGCTTTAACAGCTGGCGAAAGAACTGCTTGGGCGCAGGCCAGAAAAGATTTTTTCGCGAAAGGTGTAAATAAGGCTTCTTTGGATATTATTGAAAAAGCGGCATTTGTAGTCACATTGGACGATGTACCTTATGAATATGATACAGTACGTTAATTAATAAAATAAAAAAATATTTTGTAACAATATAAATATTAATCATATTTGTAAATTATGTTCATATTAATAATATAATTCTTATTCATTTCGTGCATTAGAAACATCCAGAAAAATTAGATCGTTATGGTAGAAATCTATTACACGGAAAAGGATATGATCGATGGTTTGATAAATCTTTTACACTATGTATTGGAAATAATGGCAGAGTAAGTAATATATATATTTTATTATTGTATTCTTCATATTTGCACTATAATTGATTATTATTAAACAAATTAATAAGAATTAAAGTTCAAGTTGAAATAAATCAATTACATAAAATTGCCTTGAGAACCAGACACAAGATATTGATGTGTATAATATTTATTACTTTATTCGATTAATTGACAATGATTGGATAAACATTTCGATTCTTGAGATCCTTTGCAATGCGATGTAATACAATCTAATGAATTGATAACTCATTGTATTATTATATATTACATCAATATACCCCAATAATGTAATTGATTATCATTAGCTTCAATGTTTTATAAAAATAATTTCTCTTTACACAGATTGGCTTCAACGCAGAACATTCTTGGTGAGTATATACTTTATAAAAAAATATTTATTTTAAAAAATTGTGCACCTATTTTCAATAGAGACAAATATAAGGCGCGAATTTGTTATGCACAATATACTATGAACAATTAGACCTATATTTTTATTAAAATAAGACATTATATACAAAATTTATGCGTATATATTGAAACAATGCATATAATAATAAGTAATGAGCAGGGCAGATGCTGCAGTCATGTCACACTTGTGGGAGTACATATTATGTTCGGAGTTCCTGAACCGACAGTAAGAATTACAATTCATAGCCTGTAGAATATTATATACTTATTTTGCATATATACATCTCTTCTTCTGCTTCTGTAAGATTACTGTTGTACATTACTATTTATCTCTTGTGTGTTAAGAACGTCTATGGAAATAATTTGGATTGCAACATATATATTTATATGTTTTTTTTTAATTTAAGATACTTCTTTTAACAAATTTTTAGTGTCTTGAAACGCTCCTTACAATAATCATCTTTAAGTTCTGTGGGGTTCATATTATGCTTATGTTTCAGTTTCTTAAATATTACATTCCTGGAAGTTACTTGTTGAAGTTTCTATTGGATATTTCTATTACGGATGATGAATGCTTTTTATATTTCCCTTTCGCGTCTTGTCTTTAATGTTTCTTTCTCATATGCTTATTAGGGCTGATGCACCAGTGCTCGGAACTCTATGGGAATTTATTATAACTGCTGATATTGAAATCGGGTAATCGGGTTATATTGTTGTGTATTGTTACACAGTGTATGTAGTAGAGAAAATTACTAACCATTCATTTATATCATTCCTAATAATTATTCTTTTATTGTAATTATTATATAATGATTAACTTTTCTATGCTTACAAGCGTTTCTATATATAATTTTTGCTTTTTATAATGCTTTTTAATGTGTCAAAATATCATCTGCTTGATCGTTATTGCATTATAAATGTATTTTAATTAAGATTAAGAATGTTTATTTTCATTGAAAAGTTATAGCTTAATTAAAAAATAAATGAATGAAAGTTATTGTATTTTAGTTACATATATATATAATAAAATGTATTTATAGATTTGCATGATATTATAAAAAGATTGTCTGGAAAATAAGGGCCACTTGAATCAATTTATCTTTTATTCACTATAAGTTATTTAAAATGAAATTTAATATAATAATCGTGAAAATTAAATCCTTACTTTTCAAATAATGTATGATAATATGGTTTTCTTCATGAATTTGATTTCTTTCAATAAAATAAAATATAGCTTAGAATTTTCTATCATTTAAGAAATATATATTATTTTCAGATATAAAGATGGACACAATATAGGCAATCCGGAATTTATACCTCCAGTTCCAACTCGATTGCAATGGGATTTAAATGCCAGATGTATTGAAGCAATTGAACAATCTTATCAGGTAATAACAAGTAATCTCGTGTTCTAAATGTACTACATTTAACAAATATCGATTATATAACAATTTTTTAATTTAAAAGGTGGCGCACAATATATTAAATGATGTTGAATTACGTGTTTATGTGCACGATGCTTATGGTAAAGGTTTGATGAAAGCTCATTCCATATCACCAGACGCCTATATACAAATGGCGTTACAATTGGCTTACTATCGTGATGCTGGCAAGTTTAATTTAACTTATGAGGCTTCCATGACAAGGTTATTCCGAGAAGGTAGAACAGAAACAGTCAGACCGTGCACTATTGAATCTTCTAAATGGGTAAAAGCAATGGAGGATAAAACAACAATGGTAAAAACAAATTAATAAATGAAAAACATATAAATTTGTTTCTCCGTGTATTTAATCAATGTTGTTGTTAATCGATCTTTCTTCCAATATAGGTAACAGAAAAAGTCAAGTTGCTAATGGATGCAGCAACACAACATCAAAGAAGTTATCAAGATGCTATGTGTGGTAAAGGAATAGATAGGCACTTGTTCTGTTTATATGTAATATCGAAGTACTTAGAAGTAGATTCGCCATTTTTGCAGGTAATTATTTTACGAGTCGCTATTATGAATATAATACGTATATAATTGATTAAATATGATCTCATTAAACATGATGAATGATTTTATTGTAGGAAGTTCTAAGCGAGCCATGGAGATTGTCGACATCGCAAACTCCACACGGCCAAACTACAAGACTAGATTTGAAAACATATCCTAAATGTATTTCAGCTGGTGGTGGATTTGGTCCTGTGGCCGATGATGGCTATGGAGTTTCTTATATAATTGCGGGAGAAGATCTTATATTTTTCCATGTTTCCAGTAAACGATCTTCGTCAAGAACGGTAAAATAATATTTTTAGTTTTATTATTATAATTGTCTTTCTACAGTTATTATTTTTTAAATATTTTTATTGTCTCAATTATATATTTCATAGATCTATATATAGTTGTTGATCCGTATACAGTTTATTAAAGTGTAATTTAATGTAATGATACTTCTAACAAAATTATTTCAATATTTATAGGATGCCACCAAATTTGCAAAGCAAATCGAAAAAGCACTTGCTGATATGAAAGATTTGCTAGAACAAAAAAAGAAAATACATCAGAATGGATCTGCGTAACTTATATAGAATTACCTGTAGCGATGTCGAGCAAAATAATTATAAACTACGCAATGAAGCGGAGACAATTTTTCTTGGCTTATGAAAGAATTTAATAACATAAATAATTTAGTGCTTAAATAATTTTCTTAAGACAGAGTTTTTTCATAAATAATTATTTTAATAGATAAAGGTTGTAGGAAAAAATAACGGGCCCAAAATTCAAAATTACATTATAGACATTGCACATATAGAAGTGAATTTTTATAGGATCATTTCACATTTGTTATATACCATTATATATCATTATATATCATATAATTATATTATAAATATAATTTTTATTATTAAATAATCATTTATGACAATTATAACAATTTATGCGTAATTTACTAATAATATTGCACAGCAGAAATGTATGCAAAAGTACAAGTATCAAATTTCTATTGCTTGCTGTACATAATTGCAAATTTAAGAGACATTTGACATTAATATGTAAGAAAAACATAAAAATTGATTAGCAAATTTCATTATTGATCATTGATTAAAAATGTTGAAAATTTTCAAACATATATGATAAAATATGTTATTAAAGTTAAATATTTAACATATTGACAACTAAATTTTGAAAAATTTACCAATTAAGTACTACACACTATCACATCATTGTATAACATTGCAAATGTGAAAGCAGTTTAATTTCATCATGCATATGTATATCCTATCATAATTATTAATTCTATCATTATAACATCGAGGAGTGATTTGTATGCAATGCAAAAAATTTACGTATATAAGAAATTATTTTTTCCATAAATATGAATGATAGACAAGTATTGTCCTGTTATCTTAATATGGAGAGACATCTCGATCTGTATTAGAATCTTATCAATTTAATATCTGAGATAGAGATGTGCAACTACAAACATGTGATTACTGATTTCTTTTTTAAGCAAACATCTATGCGATGCCATATATAATATGTGCAACTTATCAATGCAAAATGTTTTAATTGTAAGTAATTACTAATTGTAAGCAATTTTATACTTAGAAGAGAAGAATGTACGATTACATTCTCCTACAGCAGATATTTGTTACAGATATATTTAAAGATATTGATGCTTTATATCTTGTTATTATTCAGTGGTGATTATAATTAACATTATTGAAATATTTAAGCACAAGAAAGATGTGAAATGCAATATGATAGAAATATTTAACATTTTTGTACACTTAATTTCATCTTTATACATTTAATAAAAGTTCTGATAATAATTGTAAAGATTAAGTATGAAATATTACAATAGATTTCGTCTTTTAGTTCTGTAAAGTATGACATTCATTATATGTAGAACTTTTATGGAAATTATAATTAGAAATTTGCACAAGGCAACTTGAAAGATCTAAAGTAGCTTACTAATCGAGAACAAAATATGTAAAATTTGAATATTGGCAGGAAAAAAAATTGTAGAGTATTCGAAATATTTTTGTACAATATTGATAATCGATCAGTAATTCATTTTATACAGTTTATTGGTATATTTATATGGAATTCTTTTTTATTACATACAAAAATATGTAATATTTAATTATAACATGAATGTACTGTCATAGAATAAATAAAAACAACTACAATCGTTTACTTTATATAGTAACAATATTTAAACATCTTTTGCACATCTCTTCCCCTCTCTCTTAACAACAAATGAGAAATTGTTAAAGATATATACCAGAAACATATAAATACATATATAAATAGGTAGGTACGCGAAAAACAATACTATGATTACGATTTTTTAACAGTATCTTTACGTGGTTGAATTTTTACTTTTTCTTGCTTCAGAGATCGGTGCTTGTTTGATATCACTGCATTTCGTAATGTTGAATGGAGGAATCTCTTGTTAATGGTTTCTTTAGGTTTCACCCATCCACTGGGACCCATTATTTCGGCCCTTCGTGCACCAAGTCTAGCTTCTTCTAGTAAAGCTTCTGCTGCTAGTCTAAATAGATATTTATATTTCGTAATAGCTATTGCACAACAAAAGATAAAATCGTATTTTTGTGATTTCTTTCTTCCGCGATATTTTTGTGTTTATAAATTTCTACTTATTATATTGTTTATTATTTATATACAATGTAGATCGGCAATATAACTTTTATACAGTTAAATGACCTCACTTATTAGCTTCTCAAGAGTCTGATTCTTTAGAAAAATTAAAATATAATAGTGTTCATGCAAACTTCAAAACATT